TCCCGCACACCCATGTCATCACACCCCTCACACGTTTCGTGGCCCCATGGGGAGCTCCACCGAAGGTCCCAGTGGGTGTGCCCGCATGCGTCCCGCACACCCAATTCGGCACACCCCTCACACGCTTCGTGGCCCCATAGGGAGCTCCGCCGAAGGTCCCAGTGGGTGTTCCCGCATGCGTCCCGCACACCCATTTCGGCACACCCCCCACACGTTCCGTGGCCCCATAGGGAGCCCCACCAAAGGTCCCAGTGGGGTCCCAGTGCGTCCCGCATGCGTCCCGCACACCCATTTCGGCACACCCCTCACACGTTTCGTGGCCCCATAGGGAGCTCCACCGAAGGTCCCAGTGGGTGTGCCCGCATGCGTCCCGCACACCCATTTCGGCACACCCCTCACACGTTTCGTGGCCCCATAGGGAGCTCCACCGAAGGTCCCAGTGGGTGTGCCCGCATGCGTCCCGCACACCCATTTCGGCACACCCCTCACACGTTTCGTGGCCCCATAGGGAGCTCCACCGAAGGTCCCAGTGGGTGTGCCCGCATGCGTCCCGCACACCCATTTCGGCACACCCTCACACGTTTCGTGGCCCCATAGGGAGCTCCACCGAAGGTCCCAGTGGGTGTGCCCGCATGCGTCCCGCACACCCATTTCGGCACACCCCTCACACGTTTCGTGGCCCCATAGGGAGCTCCACCGAAGGTCCCAGTGGGTGTGCCCGCATGCGTCCCGCACACCCATTTCGGCACACCCCTCACACGTTTCGTGGCCCCATAGGGAGCTCCACCGAAGGTCCGAGTGGGTGTGCCCGCATGCGTCCCGCACACCCATTCGGCACACCCTTCACGCGTTTCGTGGCCCCATAGGGAGCTCCACCGAAGGTCCCCGTGGCGCAGTCCGCACGCGTCTCCCCCACCCAGTACACCTCCGTCGGAGGCCGTCGGAGTTCCGCGCCTCCCTCGCCCGTCGTCGCTCTGCCCAGCGGCAAGAGCCTTGCCCGCTATCAGCCAGCCAGCTAGCTCTCTTTGCTGCGCGCAGCGGACGACCCGCGCGCGTCGCTGGGACCCCTCCGGGGCGACCTGCGCGCGTCGCTGGGACTCCGCGCTGCGCTGCGCCCAGCTTTGGACTTTTGAGTGCGCGGGCAAAGAGGGAGTAAAAGAAGGGGAGGGAGCGGGCGCGATCCTCGCGGTGGCGTCGCGGCGCGCGGGCGATGCCGTCGGGGAGTCCCGGGGAAGCTCCTTGCGGCGGCCACGCCCAGCGTCACGAGTACTCAGAGGCAGTCATTCACAAACTATTAGCATTCATATACAATTGCACCATTCATTGGCATACTCGCATTCATGCACGTAGATTCGCTCGCACGCAGATTCATCCACAGTCAGACGCACTCGCGCTCAGATTCACCCGCGCTCAGTCTCCCTACGTACTCAGATCAATCGTTTTCGTTCGCGTTGTGTACCACGCCATTCATTTCGGCACACCACTAGCACGGTTCGTTGCCCCATAGGGATCACCACCGAACAAGGGAATCACAATTGCGGTACTCACACCTGCATATGGTTGGGTCCTTCGTCTGGCTAATTTAGCTGTCGTCACGTTTGGTTTCTTGTTGCGTGGATCTGGAGGACATCTCGAGTGGGAGCATCGTCTCTGAGTGAATGGTGAGGAAGGCTTGAGCCGTGGCCCGCCCTTTATGGGTTCGCAGATTGGCTACGGCACAAGGAGTGCCTGCCAGGCGAGCTCCTTCGCCCCGCTTCCTGCCGCAGGGTCTCTGGATGCAGGTGTGCGGTTTCAAGGATGCCGCCATTTACCAGGAGGTCGCCGAGCTGCTGCTACAGTGTGCCGAGAGCACCGACAACGACGGTGAGGTCCAAGTGTGGGCGCGGAGCTTGCTCATGTTCAGGCCTTACGAGCAGGGGCTCACGTGGCAGAGCTCGGGGTGGCGCGCCGTGCGACGCTTGAGGTTCACCCTGACGCGCGCGTCCTGCCGTCCTCAACATCCAACGCTGCCGCAGGGTCAGACGCTGCGAGAGGGCGTCACCATCGACCGCCAGGGATAAGGGCGGTGGCCGCACGGGCGTGTCGGACGAGCAATGGTCAATGGTGGCTTTACCATTACGTCATGTCCTCCTGCACCACGCGCGTGCTGATCCTGGGGCCGCTCTCGCGCGAGTTTCTGGAGCGCGGGCTGCCGGCGCCTTTGCGGAAGGCGCTCGGTGAGTTCGACAAGAAAGCGGCGACCTCCAGTGCTGAGGCCGAGCAGTTCGCCGCAGAGATTGGCTTCGCGCTGGACGCCGCCGCGTCCCGTTTGAAACCCGTGGGATTGTCCCAAACGGCTTGGTGTGGCGCCCCATCGGCCCGCAGGTTTGCCCGAGCGGCGCGGTTCGCGAGGTTGTTCCAGCGGCTTCGTGATCTGGCCATCGATGACGCGTGCTTGCTCTGTGAAGCGGCGACGGCGCCAAGGAAAATTGATGTGCGGAACACTGCAATAGGAAGAGGGGGGGGGGGGGCGGGGGGCGGATGGGGAGGAAGGGCAGGAGTGCGAGGTGGGGGAGGGGCAGGAGGCTGGGAGAGGGCTTGCGCCAGAGGGGAGAAGCGAATCGCGCAAAGGAAAGGAAAATAACCTCTGCAATCGGAGGATCGACGATGTGGATTACTTTCAGACGAACCGGGAAGATTATCGTGTGGGCTCCTACCGTCGGATCAGTTTTTCTCTGAAAGTGAACCCTGCGCAATCAACTGATGCTGCGCATTGTATGCGCTTCTATACAGTGCAGGCAATAGGGTGCAATCTCTGCGGTGGAATCTCCAGGAGCGGGGCCCTGTGAGGTGCAAGTTGCGCGCCCGGGTACGCCCCATGGTTTCGGGTTCTATGGAGTTGGACACTGCGGGGTTGAGACATGTGGGGTCGCACTTTTTTGGGCGGGGCCTTCTGGGGTGAGGCCTTCGGCGGCCCGTCTAGTGTGAAACATTCCGAGATGAGACCACATGCGCCACGATTCCATGGGGAGGAAGCCCAACGGGTGCGACCCTATGGGTGGGAAGGTGGAGTGGACCATGTTGTCAGACCCTACAAGATGGGACACAATTCGTTGGGTCCCCGTGCCGTGGGGCCCTGAGAAAGAGAGGCCCCATGGGGTGGGTCCCCATGGGATAGGGCCTTGCGGGCTTAGTCTCCGTCCGTTGGGTGAGGCCGCGCGGGTTGGGACCTCAAGGGGTGGGGCCACTGGGTGGTGCGCTACCGGCGCTCATCGCTGAACAACACTGGAAATCTTGGCACCCAAGGCATGTTGGTCATAAAGCAAATCGCTAAGCAACTCGCCGTTTAGGCTCCGCCGCCAACCCAGACGGCGAGCACAAATCAGGCGCATCATCGTAGAACGTGGCAGCTGTGTGTACGTGTGTGTGTGTGTGTGTGTGTATGTGTGTGTGTGTGTGTGTGTGTGTGTGTGCGCGCGCGCGCGTGTGCCACCCATTTGGTTTGCCATGCGTTGCGCGATCCATGGGCTACGCCATGGGTTGCGACATGCAATGCAGCTTGCGCGATCCATGGATTGTGCGCCATCCGTGGATTTCGCCGTGGATTGTTTCATCCATGGGTTGCGCCATGTGCTGCGCCAGAAGTTGAGCCATGGGTTGCGCCGCCCGTGGGTTACGGCATGGGCTGCGTTTGTCAACACTGGGTTGTTCCATGGAGTGCGCCATCCGTGGGTTGCGGGGTCCGTGGGTTGCGCCATGGGTTGCGCGCTCGAGGTTGCGCCATCTGTTGCGCCATAGGTTGCGCCATTCGCGGGGTGTTCCATAAGCTTCGCCTTAGGTAGCGCACTCCACTGCCGAAGAAAAACGGACATGCTTTCGTCATTGCGTCATAGGTTGCGTACTCGGACAGCCGAGAAACAAACAGCCCGCTACTGGCGCCAAAAATCGCGCACCTGGCGGTCGACAACAAAACGACGTGTGCCATTTCATTGGTTGCGCCATGGGCTGGCGGCTTGTAACATGGTGTGGCATCGGTCGCGCCAGAAGAAGTTGACTCATTCGGCGACCAAGACAAAACCGGCCTACTTCTGATTGCGCCATTTGTTGCGCATTCGGCGTCTCACAAGTAAACGATGTGCCATTGGTTGCGCCATAAGCAGGCTACCTATGAACAAAATGATTGTTATCGGTTGCGCCATAGTTTGCGCACTATGCGGCCGATGATATACCGGCCTATTAACCAATGTGACTAGTCAGTCAGTCAGGTCGGTACACTTGCGAAGGCTACGTCTGAAACAAGCTTTTCAGTGCAAGCGCTGTTCTTGGAGAAGAACAGGTTGTGTGTGGGGGCCAGGGGGAAGAAGGCCAGGATGAAGACCAGGACGAGGAGCAACGAATAAGAAGTGAGTTGATGATGCTGATTCTGATGATGATAATGATGGGAAAGATGGGGGGAGGAGGAGGAGGAGGAGGAGGAGGAGGAGGAGGAGGAGAAGGAGGAAGAGCAGGAGGAGGAGGCTGGAAGCAAGGAGGTACAGGAGGAGAAACAGGCTGGTGTTACGGATACGGAGGAAGGCGACGTGTTGGTCAAGGGTATGAGCAGTCGAAAAACACAACAGGGACGGCAGAGTATGGGCATGGCTTGCAAAGTGAGAGCTGGCCAGTTTGTCGGATGATGGGAGCTGCACGAGGGGCGAAAGAGTGTGGCTAATTTGGAGGGCACGGGTTGAACTGTCGGCAATTCGTTGCGTACGCATGCAGGAAAAAGTATATGGGGGATCTGAGTTGGGGCATGGTTGCAGATAGTTGAGCAGCATGTAAACGAAGGGGGGGGTCGGCTGAGGACGGGGTGATGGGGGAGGAGGGTCAGGAGCAACAGCAGGAGATGAGGGTGCTGATATGCACTGTTGGGTCACTGGGAGGGCAGCCAGCAAGCAAATGACCAGGTGTAGGAGGCACAGGCAGCGCTTCAGCGGTCATGGCGATGCTTGGAGTTCACAGATGCGCTCACAGCTTGCAAGGCTGCGCAGAAAGCAGGGAAGAAGAAAAAGGACAAAGCCAAAGATAAGCAGAAGGGTGGCAAGGCCAAGTCCAGGAAGAAGAAAAAGGTGGGAATTGGCAGCAAGGGTGGGTCTAGCACCCATGAACATTTGGAGTAATCAGGCCCCCCCGATGTATACGAGCAGGTCTACACATGTCTGTATTGTCGAGGTCCGCCAATGGAATGTTAGCCATCAGGCATGTCTTCGTATAGTCATGGTTGCCAGTCTTCGCAAGCACGCGATGTATGCTGTGTTGGGCTGGTGGCTTCTCCATGGTCTGGTCTCGCCCACTCCTCTCTCCTACTCGCCCTCTTGCTGTGTAGCGAATGTGCCGAGCTTGCGTGATGATTCAGGGAGCTTTGTATCCCCACCGATCTCGGAAGAGTTCGAGCGAAACTCAATTGTCTTTCTGCTTCGCAGTTTCAAGCTCAGTCGTGAACCTGATCGATGGTACAATCATGCGGATGCGGGGCATCTTTATGTCAGCCCTTCCACTCTCGCTTCTCTCTTCCCTCTCTCTCTCTCTTCCTCCACCCCACCATGTGGGCCCGAATATCGGCCAGGCAGCCAGGACAGCTCGCTTCAGGTCACGTCTGTGTCGAAAGTCCTGGCGCCGGGGACAATCCTCGCATGGGTCAGGATGCGCGGGGATTGCAAAGTGACGATATCGATCAAGCCGGGCGGTATGCGTATGATTTCTTTGTGTATGATGTTGTACGGTTGCTATCCAATTGTGTTGCTGTTCAGATGCGCCACCGTGCTTTAGCTTGGGTGGGGATCCTGGGGGTTGGGTAATCAAAGGGGTTCCACGGTCCCTCGCCGCAATTTAGCTTTAGGCTCCAGGGATCTAGGAACTCGGAACAGCAATGAGCCGAAATACGCCAGGACAAGCCTGGTGGCAGACAGAACGGAATTTTCAAGGTTGATCTAGAATTGTCACCGCCAGTCGAACATCGGTTTGTCATCTCCACTTGAATGATAAGTTATTTGCTCCTGCCTTCCTGGCTGGCCAGCGAACCGCTGATCGGGTTCGCTCTATGTTCGGACCGCTGTGTCGGCTTGAGAATCGGGGCTGGTGCCTGGTCGTTTTTGTATAGGTGCCGGGATGGGCCAAGTGCTCTTTTGCAGTTCCAGCGCCGCTGAATCACCTCTCAATCTTCTGTTGTCTCCCCTGCAGTGGCTTTCCGCGTGGCCTCGTCGGCCGGTTACCGTTTGATTTGTAGGGGGAGGGAAGGGAGAGAAGGATCGTCTGGATAATTTGCGCCCTTTGGAGGGTACTTTGGATCGGCTCGAACTAGAAGCAACGTGCATAAACCTAAACTTTTGGAGCTCCGCGCGGGCTTCTTTGGTCGGCGCTGGACCTACCTCCCTGGCGCGCAGAGCGCGCCAGGGGCGGCGCCAGAGGCGCCGCCAGGGGGCCCCAGCGCCGATTCAAATAACTAGCGCGAAGCTTCGAACATTTATTTTTATGCAGTTGATTCGTCTTCTAACAGTGCGATGTGTCTCGAACGTTTCCTTGGCTGCGCCTTCTTACTGACTCTTGCTGTTCGCAGGAAGGGGCGACTCGTGCGGGCACGTGCCGGCAGTTGTCTGGGCCTGCGAGGGGGGGGGCCATGACACGGCCCAGCTGGGGCTGGGATTGGTCTGCACCGATGGGTTTCTTTATACATCATTGTAGTTCTGGCTCTGTTTCTGGCTCTGGCCCCCACCTCCAACCGCAGCTCCCCGAGATGTGCCTTCGCCTCCCTTCTTGGCCAAGCTCAGCGTCAGCTCCGCTTGACTTCGGCTCCAGCTTCAGCTGGCCCCCTGCCCACTTCTCTCGGTGGCAGCCCTCTCCTCGCGGCGGCCCCCGGGAGGCCAAGACCGAGCGTTCGACCTCCCCTGGGTCGTCAGAGAGCTCCGACAGCTGAGCGGGCAGCGGGTGCCGTCGACCCTCGCGCCGGCGCGCCGGCCCGGGCGCCGTCCTTCCGAGCGCGCCCTCTTCAGGGTCAGCTGGCCACTGGGCACGGCGCGCGCGCGAGGGAAAAAGGGGGCGGGGAGGGGGAGGGGGGGGGGATGAGGGGGGGGGATTAGGCAGGAGGGGGGAAGAACGGGAATAGCACACGTCCAGGTTGCCAGGCACCTCCGACGTCATCGTCATGACATCGTCCAGAGGCGCCGAAAGACAAATGGCGACTGTGCATCCAGGGAGCACGCTCCGTGATACTGCTGCCGCCTGGGAGCAGGTCTTTGCCCTCGAAAGCTTGCGAGGCGTATGGTACGTCATAGTGCCATGCGCAGGATGGTGGCAGGGGAATTAAACCTCCTCGCTGCCTCGAGCGGGAGTCTCCACGGAACCCTGTCGACGCACTTGGTGATGTCCACTAGCGCCGTCACGACCGCCATGGCCAGATGCTTCGCAACCACTTCCACACGGACAAGGAGCCGAACCGCGACGTGCAAGGTGGCCTCCATGGCGAAGTACAGTCTCATGTAACCCGTCGCCCAGCGCCTGACATGCACCAACAGCAGCTTGGTCCACACACGGTTGACAGCGGGGAGCAAGGCTATCGGCCTCTACCTTGCCCCTCCCTTTGATAGAAAAACAAAGTGAGTCGTCATCATCAGATTTGGCCATCTATGCAAACTCTCGATCGCCCACGTCAGGTAAACCAGGAAGGCGATGGTATCGTTACTCAGCAGGGCGACCGCTCTCGGCGAGAGACAGTCCACGCCCGTGGCTGCCTGAAAAGGGAATGTTGGCCGCTCGCCTGACGCCGTCCGCCTTTGGAATAGGTAGATCCGTCGGTGGCAAGTTTCGAAGTAGATCCTGCAAATCATCCAGGGACCTGTCGGTAGGCCCATCGTGAGCTACGTCAAACTCATCATCATCTCCGTCTCCTTTGTATCCTGCAGACTTGGTCGAGAGCACTGCCGCCCCATTCCAGATCCGAACCCATGAATCCATCTGGCCGTCAGCGACGACCTGAGCTTGAGGGTGTCCAGGCTGGCCTTCACTTGCGTGAGCATGGTCCCAGCCACTAATCCTGGTGTAGATGAAGACTTGCCACAGCGAGTCTGACAACGCGTCCTTCGCTCACTGGGGAAGAGGCGGAGGAGGAGGAGGAGGAGAAGGAGGAGGAGGGAAGTACCTGACCCCCTCCTGCGACCTCATGCTCTCTCCCTCGGATTCTCTCTTCCTCCCCGGTGCCTCCCCTCCTGGGCGGACTCTGCTGGGCGCTTCGCCGCCGCATCGTGCCCTCCTCGGGGTCCGCAGCGCCCTTGGACTCGAGTGCCGTCAGGCAGGGGGCGAGCGAGGCGCAGGAGGAGGAGGAGGAGGCGGAGGAGGAGGAGGAAGAGGAGGAGGGTGGCTGCCGCCTTCTCGTCGCCCCTGGCCGCCTTGCGCCAGCGAGCCTCGATGGTCCTCAGGGCGTTTATTAGCCCTATCTGAGTTTACCCTTGGTCGTCTTCAACGTCGTCCCCCCTGCTGGGCACGCCTGTGCTCCGGCACGCACGCACACGATCTTCATGCTCTGAGCGTGCTCCGCCGTCCGCAGCTCCCTCTCCCCCCGTTCGCGCTTGTCACGCTCCTTGCCGTGCCCAATCCGTAGCCATTTTGGCTCAAGACCTATGCTTTGGCGGGCTGAGCCCGCATTGGCAAAAACGGATACCGCTAGTCCGCGGCAGATCACTGTGTGTACGGAGGTCCCTCAGTCGAGGGGTTCGCGAGCCTCCAACCTGACTCCCCAGTCGTCGCAGCCATGGCCCCCCCGCCTGAGAAGCTGGATTGGCTTTGTCGTTTTTGTGTGCAGCGCTCTGGCGAGCTTTGGGTCAACCCAGGGTACAAGATGTACTGTGCTGGGCGGGTCAAAGACGGCTGTGGTGGGATGCGCAAGGGCTCGTGTTTCCTTCGCAATGTTGAGCCCAAGGTCCCGTCGGTGCGCAAAGCCAAGCCAGAGCGCCCTCCTCCATGGGCGACGCCATCGGACACGGCCAAGCTGCTCGCTCGGCTGCAGGCAGAGGTCGCAGAGCTCCGCAAGCAGAATGCCCAGAAACTGCCTGGTGGGGCGCAACCTGGTGTGCAGCTTACGGAGCAGGGCAAGTCGGAGGACGACGAGGACGCGAAGATTATGGTGCAGGTCGCGGCTCACGAGGGCATCCATGCGGCGTGCGTCGGCGTGCCAGGCATGGAGCAGATGGCGGCCGACGCGCTGGCGGCAAAGGGTGCTTTGCTGGAGAAGCGACGTTCTAAGCAACCGCTGTGTGCGCAGATTCGGCAGTTGTCCACGAAGCTGCAGAATGAAACTTCGAAGTTGGAGAAGCTGGAGAAGGTTGCAGCTGCTTAGGCGGCTGAGCTCTCGCAATTGCAGAAGGATGCGGCAGAGGCGGAGTCGAAGGCAGCGGCCCAGCGGGTTGTCATCGTGGAGCTTGAAGGCCAGCTGCAGCAGCTGGGCAACTCGGCTCCATAGCCTCCTGATGGGGCCAAGCCTGTTGCTGGTGGGCAGCTCGACACGTCGGTGCTGGATGCGTTGCTGGAGGCGGCTGGCGTCCACGGAGAATTGCTCGTTGCGGTCAAGGCCAACCCGTTGGTGGAGAAGCTGGTGGCACCTGTGCAAGCGCCTAGTGGAGGTGGGGGTGCCGCTGTATCTGATGGCGAACCGTCCCAGAAGAGGCCGAAGTTCACAGAGCCTGACTTCGATGGGATGGACGAGGACAAGCTGCGAGAAGGTTTATCGGCAGTCGGATTCGTCGGGGAGCTACCGTCTGAGGTTGAAGAGTTGCGGGCGATGGCCAAGAAAGCCTTCAGTGGGGCGAAGGCCTGGAGCCCGTACTATTTGCTGGATTATCATGTTTGTGCTACGATGGTTACTGTCGGTTGCCATGATGATGTCTGGTACTTTCTCAGGTTCTTCTCTGCCCACTACCTCGACCTCGGGGGGTTCGGCATGCAGCGCTGGGAGTTCGGGGGCGGCTGGTTCCTCGGCGTCGAGCGGTGCACTCACTGGGCCTGCTGCGAAGCAGGCTCAGCAAAGGTCGCCACATGAGCTACCTCCTCGTGACGGGACCTGGTCGACATGCGTCTCGTCTACTTCGATTTCAGACGCCAGCGGCTGTATGCACTGCTCACCACCCTCGCCCTCCGTGGCATCGGGTGGCAGAGGGTACCAGCAGCCGCTGGCGAGTCTCTCGTCCCCAGTGGAGCTCGTAGCAGTCTCGAAAAATGTGTCAGGACAGCCACCTGCCCATCTTTCCCATGCAGGTGGGCGTGGTGGCGACGGGAGGGCGGTCAAAGGCCTCATCGCGACGGTGAACGTGTCGAGTGGCGGCCCTCTCATCAAGTATTTAGCAGCTGGCCCGCCCAGCTCCATCATTGCTGTGCAGGAGCATCATGGTACACTGTCTCGGCTGAGTTCGTTGCAAAATCAGGCGAAGGATCCCGGCTATCATGGAGTTTGGAGTGCTGCGGTGCCGTCAGATGGTGGTGGGACCTCTGGTGGAGTGGCTATCCTTACCAAGACGCACATCTCGGTCACGGCGGCGCCCTACTTCGACCAGGACATCGTGCCTGGTAGGCTTTGTGCTGCTCATGTCCATTGGGGCGTGCGCAATGGAATTGTGGTTGTGTCAGCCTACTTTCATGATTCGGTTGGACTCAATGACGATAACGCTTTCATTCAGGCCCACTTGCAACACTACTTGCTGTTACTGTCGGCCTTAAAGCTCGATTGGGTCTGTGTTGGTGACTTCAACATGAGCTCGGGTGTGCTGATGACAGGTTGGAGCCAAGGGTTCCCAGGAGTCCATTGCGTGCCGCCTGAGTGTACCTGCGTGAAAGACCAAGAGAGTATCATTGACTTCGGCATTGTTTGCAGCAATTTGGCTTTGCGGGTGGACCCACCCTGGGTGGACCAGGAGTCTGAGCTGTATCCACATCACCCTGTTCACTTTCCCTTGGCTGTGAATGACGTTGAGGCGTGGGCTCGCCTGCCCGCGGAGCCTCGTGGCTGGGGGTCCGAGGTTCCGATTGGCTGTGCGCCTTTCCCGCGCACTCGTGAATGGGAACGTGCTCTAAATTTTGTTCTGACTGCTGAGGGCCAGGTGGGCCTACAGCGTGCTTGGGACCAGGTATTGCATGGTATTGAATGTGAGCTGTCTGATCGATGGGGACACAGACGGCTGGATCGGTCGTCGCATGGAGGCCGCGGGGGTAACGTTTCCTTTCGCATGGTGAAGCTCGAGTGGAAGCCCCCTCGGCGGAGAGTGCACCAGACTTCGCAGGTAGCGGCGCTGCAGGTGGCGGCACGTTGGCTCAGGCATGGTCGCTCTATGTGGCAGCAGGTCTGTGAGCTCGGGCAGAGGCTGATGGCTGCCAACGTGGTGTGCTCGGTCTCTGTTGGTCAGACTTCTCGTTTGGTGGAGCGGCTGTGCGAGCTGAATCAGTTCTACGTGAAGATTGGTCGGGCGTCGGAGACGCTGGGCAAGCTGGATGTGGACCTGGCGCAGTTCTTGGCTCGTGGCATCGCTGTCTGGGCAGACTCGTTGGCTGGACAGGCAGTGCAAAGCTTCCTGGATCGCGCCGATGACGCTAGGAAGAAGTTCGAACGCGAGCAAGGGGCCAATTGGCGGCAGTGGGCTCGTGATGCCTTGAGTGGAGGTGCTTCAATGGCCCATCGTTTTACCCGGGCCCATCCGTTGCAGGAGGTGCTGGACCAGACCACGCGGGCCAGCCCCCATCAGCTCGTGCAGCGGGAGATGGAGAAGTGGAAGAAGATCTGGACGGTGCATGGCCTCACGCAGTGCGCTAGGCCCCCTGATTTCGACGACTGGGACCTCTTGCCCGAGATGTCCGTGGCCATGCTGCGGGGGGTCTTCCTGAAGTTCAAGGCGAAGACTGCTGTGGGTCAGTCGGGCATTGCTCCGCGTGCGTTGTGGCACCGCTCGGATGCAGGTCTCATTGTGCTGTCAAAGTTGTTCCAACGGTGCGAGATGTTGGGTTTCTGGCCAGATAATCGCATATTCACCACGTTGGTGAGGCTGCCGAAGGAA